GGACATGCATATATAAACTAATAATTATCTATATAATTAGATAGAAGTAGGTGAAAGTAGGTAAAAGTGGGTTAAATTCATAATATCTTCTTTAGAAGCTTTATAGATGCTACTTTGATTTTATAGATATCTATAATTAATTTTTTAGGTTAAAAACATGGTCAACAAGTTAGCCATGTGCCACACATGTTGGTAGCTTAAAAAACAAGCTAACTATATGGCATATACATAGAAAACTTGCCTTGTAAGCTAAGACATATGTCTTCAAAGTCAATACATATTAAAGCTCCTATAAAACATTGTCACGTAGGTCTATATTAGATAGAACCTATAGAGACAAGAGTGAAGCCCTCTTCTCTCTTATCAACTTCTTTCTTACTTCTAGTCTAGATTCAAGAGTTTCTAATTTCCTTGCTTTTTGGTAATATCCATTTTAATTTTCTTTTAATATACATACTTCTTTATTTTTATTTTGTTATACTTGTTTATTTACTTTTATCAAGTTCTTATCCCTAATACTACTTTATGTCATTTTTATTCTTTCTTGTGGCAGTAAATTGAGTTGATGTATTGTAAGCACTAATTCTCTTAATTGTTCTTGCATTTGTACTATTGTACTCTTTATTTCAATAAGCTTTTTTATAATAACACTTAAGAAAAAAAATCTAATATTTTTTAAGACAAGTAAAAGAAAGTACTTAAGAATTAAAAAAATAATAAAAATAATATCAATTTAGAAGAAGGTAATATATAACTTCTAATATTGTAAGTGTATTCTTTTCAATTTGTCAAGGACAAGAACTTAATAAAAGCAAAAAAACAAGTAAAATGTTTTTAAAGAAATATGACAAAATAGAAATAAAAAAATATGTATATTAAAAAGAAAATTGGAATGGCTATTGCCAAAAGACAAGGAAACTAGAGACTCTTGAAACAAGACTAGAAGCAAGAAAAGAGTTGACAAGAGTGAAGAAGACTTTATTCTTGCCTCTATATATACTATCTACCTAGTAGCTATGTGGCAACATTCTATAGAACCTCTAAAACTTGTTGATTTTACACAACAAGTATCTTAACTTGCAAGGCAAGTTTGTTATATGGATACCACATAGTTAGCTTGTTTCCTAAGCTACTAATACATGTGGCATGAGTTAATTTGTTAGCCAAGCTCCTAAGCTACTAATCAACTACAAACACTTGTAAAGTCCAAGAAGCATCTATGAAGCTTTTAAAAAGCTTTCTTAGAAGATATTATAAAATTAATCTACTTTTATCTACTTCTATTTATTCATATTACCTAAATAAAAATTATAATAAATATATGTCTATGATACTACCATTTTAAATTTATATTATAATTCTAAAAAAAACAACTCATAATACAATCTTTTCTTCACTTTAAAATTTTATTATTATTATAATATAAACAAAAAAATTATCAATTTTTACTAATCTTAAAAAAATATATCTTTTGAAGATTATTATTGATCAAATCAAATTAATCCAAATATTCAATGAGGTGCTCACTGTTTAACTTTAAGAAACAACATTCTACAATTTTTTTTAGTTTTTTACAATATCATGTCATATGCTTTGTAAGCACTCAATTTGTACCATTCTAAATCTAATTTTTTTCTATTGTGGCATTGGTATAAAATCAGCTAGTGTTTATTTTATTCATAAAAAAAATTTAAAGAAAAAATAGTCCATAATATTGTATATATATATATGTAGGATTATTGATTCTTGATCTTTAGCCAATTGTTAATATACATCATTACAAAAAAAAAATTTAAAGTTATTTTTTAGTTTCTTTAAATGTGCAAACATATATCAAAGAAAAATAATGACAAACAATATTTTGAATTACTTTTTTATATGCATTATAGAAGCTTCTTCTAATAATTCCATTTATGAGCATGCATTCTTGAAAGACAAATAAAGGATTTTATTTATATTATACAACTTTTTAAATGAGCAAGACTTATGTACAATATTAAAAAAAATCAAAGCTAAAACCTTTCTCTTGCAATAGAATTAAAAAAGTATAAGCTTCCACATAAAAATCCACAATACTTTATTATTCACTTCTTTGTCTTCTTGTTCGACCAAAGATATTGTAGAAACTTTTGATACATATATTATCAAAGAATGTTAATAAATTCACATGTTTCAAATAATGACTTTAAAGTTGTTAGTTTTTGTTTTTTTTTTGCTAAGACTTTAAGTTCATCACCATCTAGATCAAAAACTACTTGATATGTTCTAAAACAATATAGTACCAATCAAACCATATTTAGAAATTCTTCATGCATTTTCATTTTGAACAAATGTCATGCTTCTTTAAAAGTTCTAATCCATTGTGCATCAATATAACACTTAATTGCATTATTATCACTTCTTACTTATATTATAGTTCGATCATGTCTTTTATAAATATACTTATGAATATAATTCTTAATATAGATAGAAGTACAATCTTTAATATTAATGGAGTATTTACATATATATATATATATATATATATATATATATATTTTTAATATATGTTTGTAACAATATTACAACTATCATTACATATCTTTTTATTATCATTTTTTTAATATAGAATATTTCTATCTTAATTTATTGATGTCACAGCTTGATATTGCTTCAAATATTTTTTTTGATATTTTTCAATCTACTATATATAAAGTATGTGGATTTTGAGGTCCAAAAAGACCATAAACCATGCAAGAGGTAAGGGTCTCAAATAACAAAAGATCTTCTTTTTTACAAAAGATGTTTGCACAAATAATCCTATTAACATCAACTTATATTTTTATTTTTTTATTTCAATCAAAAAATAGAAATTACCATATATGCAAAAGACCATGTTTTCTAAATACAATACAATGGATTCTTGCAACAACATTTTTTGGTATGTTGTGCTTGCATAAATCTTCCATCAATGCATTATGTTTTAGTTCAAAAACTCTTGCAACCAAATCAAGTCTATTCTAAATTTTCTATCTCAAAAGTAGTGCATTGGTGATCTCTAAATACTTTTGATTTGCAATCATTGTTTCAAATATATTAATATATTGAACATATTGAATAATTTCTATTAAGACTTGAAAGATATCAAATATATTCCATGCACTTTGAATATGTATTAATAGAAGAATTATATATCTTTCCAAATTCCACATTTCTACTTCTTAATTTTTTAATAATTAAGGTTGAAGAGGCAAGAATTTTACCTTTCTATATAAACATATATCAATTCTTGGCATGTTTTCTTTGATAATTGTATAGTTTTTCCTTCCATCTAATAAAATGCACCATAATAGGCACATTCAATTTCTATCCTTTCAAGACAATGTAGCTTTTTTAAAGATTTTCTTTTATCTTCTTCACTAATATGAATACGCTATATTTATTGTCTAATTGTAGTTTTTTCTTTTATCTTTTATCAATATCAACAAATCATTTATACAATTGGACTAAAATAATTTATATTTTATTGCTTCTTCATACAACTCTTTAGTATATTTTCTTTTATTTTCTTCACTTATATAAATGTATTATATTTGATGTCCAATAGCCACTATTTCTCATGCCCATCATTATTGTTGGCCAATTTCTTAAGAATAAATATAAGGTATTTCATATTTTGGTGTTTTGCATGCAATTCTTCCATATATTTTCTTTCATCCTATTTATTTCTATAAATTTGATCCATTGTTGTTTAATTGAGATTACTTTCTATCCTTGTTGTTATTGAGCAATTGCTCTACAATTAAATAAATATATTTCATATTTTATTATAATTAGATAGACATATTTCATTCATAATCCATATCAATTTCTTACTAGATTGCTATTTCTTTTATCTAATGTTCTTATTAGATTGCTTTTACTTTTACTTGATGATCTTTGCTATGCAATTGCTCTACAATTTGAACTACTATTGCGTCCCATTTTTGTTGTTGTTGTTAGGCAATATCTCTATAATTAATCTACTGCAAATCTTTTGCACGTTTCTTTTGATCTTATCTACATTTGGCTCTAATAAGAGTTTTTCTAAACTCAATTATAAAATTGTTTTTATTTTCTATCTTTATTTTTTATTTTTTTTATAATTCAATTGTACTTAATAAGTATTGGTATCACTTGAATTATAATACTAAGATCTTGTACTAACCATGGTTTTTAAAGGTACTATTGACTAAAACCAAAACTCAAAAACAACTATTTTAGTTTTCTTTTCAAATTAATTATTCTATATTTAGATAAATTCAAGATAAATAATTAATTAAATTAATAACTAATTAAGAATATTCTTTTGCATTCTCTAAAATATGAATAATGCTCTCAAATCTATAAAAAAAATATTTAATAAAGAAATATCTTTCCTCAATAATCAATACTATACAAATATAAATTGAAGAAGCTCTTAGTTTCAAAACAAACACACAATAAAATAAAAGATCTTCAAAAATCAAGAGCACATTGACAAAAATTGATGATAAAAATAGGAAATTGTTAAATTGACCCTAGTATTTACTAAATTGATCCACTTATCCTAACCATCATTCTCTACTGCTAAATCCACATTGATCAAAAATCAATGAAAAAATGTTTTGATCTTCAACCAATAATATTGGGTGGATAAATTTAGTAGATATTTGGTTCAACTTATCAATTTCCTAAATATATATATATATATATATATATATATACATATAGAATATTAGAGAGTAGAAAAATACACCTATTGTTACACTATAAAAGTTACTTTAAATTTTTATGACTACCTTGTATACAAAGACTTGAATTGATATCAAATGCATTAATTGGTATTTTATATTGTATTTGATTATCTTTCATTAAATTCTCTTAGATATTTAGAATTTAAACAAGTTTTTGTAAAATCTTCTATTGTTGCATTGTTAATTTTATGAATATTCAATTTAGATTATTGCTAATGCCACCACAACCTACATATAACTGAATCATGACTGGAAAACCACAACAAATGTTTCATATCAGAATTTGATCAAACTGCAGACATGCTACGATGATCAAGAAATTCAAGTACGTTCAAAGTTCTAGCACCTGTTCCCTCGTCAGTTGGTCTTTTTTAACTTCAACAGCCAAAGTTGCCAGTTTGCCTTCTAGGGTGCACTCCATCCAAGGATCAAGACAAGAAGACGGAACACCAGCTACATTTCAGAATTTCTAAACATCTAATTAAACATTTGTGAGAATTAAACAACACAAATGTTTTCTTTTTTTCTTTTCTTTTTTCCCTTTCATATGGGGTGCAAATCTACTGAACGAAACACCGATGTGCTAAGAGTAACTTATCCAGGACGCTGTTCGGAGGATAACAAGGTTTGATGACAATGCTTGTGCATCCGGTATTACTCTGCTCGAAATTTCCAGTCCCGACGACACATTGGGCACTGAGGCCGCGGGCTCTGGGAGTTCACCCACTTCAAGATGCAGTGCAGATGGAATGCGTGATTACATGCTCCCCACACTGCCAAGCAAACATCATGTATTAGCATCCTGGTCAAACCCAGTTGTGAAGAAGAGAACAGTTGGCTTTCTCTACAGCAAAAGGAGAAGAAAAAAATAATCAATTAATTAATTAAAAAAACTGAACGAAAACCCCTGCTAATAGTTCCCACTTGAAAACTGTTTCAATGCCATGCGAGCTATGGTACAAGAAAAGAATTCCTTAAGAATAGCTGCGAATTGTTATAGCTGATGCATTTCAATACTGTGTAAAACCTGGCATGCAAACACCACTGTAGCAAACCTTCTGGCGCTTATTGGGCTTAAATTAGGTCAAAATACAGCACGCGGTAGCACACGAAATAGACCAAAGAAGAGAAAACGGATAGTATTACATAGTCCTGATTTGGGATTGTTGGAAGAAAATAAAAAGAGCAAGAGACAGGAAAGTACTCAGAGGGCAGTCATCGCCAGGCATTTTGCAGTCGGGGCAGCATCCGTCGAATGCCATACGACATATTCCACAAGCATCATCGTGCGCGTCCCAGGTCCACGATGCAACAGCATGCCATCTGCCCAACCCCAGTCAAGGTATTGCTTACAAATGAGACACCGATTGACTTGCTTTCTCACGTCCTTCCGCTCCAATCTAATACAATCGATTTATGAGGTACTACTCAGGTAACGTGTAAATATTCAAACATTCAAAAACCTCAAAAGATTTCGAGAATTAACTAGCGACGCAGATGTAGACATGAAACCCCCCGTTGAGTACCCTATCGAGCCCTGCTCTACTCTAAACTGGCTTGCGTGGACAGATTAGCAATAAAACCTAAATTCACGAAATAAAGAAGACCATGTCTACGTTGTCTTCCTCCCCGCCCTCTGGTGCTTACTGGCACTAATAGTTGCGACACCCAACGATAACTACCCGTCATATAGAAATTGGTTTTGGTTGTCAGCGCAAATCCTAAAATGTGCTAGCTTGGAAGGACACTGATGGGGGTAAAATAAAAGTACAACATCAACCCGGGCCAATAGTGAACGAAGAAACGAAAAAAAAATGCTCAGAAAAACCCAAGAATGCTTGGAAGAAACTCAAATTCATCAATAACGTCGCTATATAGACATTACAGCAAGAAATTGACGTGAGAGAAGTTCAAGCTATACTCACTCTGTATCAAGCATCCACCAGCGCAAGCGCAATCGGAAACGAGAAGTCAAGGCCTCGCATTACAGAATGCAATGCAGTTCAACATCATCACCACCAAAGCCCCTGATACAAACAACCCTACTTACTATTCAGATCCCAGCGCACCCCACCCACCCACTTCAGCATTCTACAATCACAGACATCCCTGCCGCATTCAAATCCCATTCACAAACAAACCCACAAATCACCAATCCCTAAAAAAGGATACTCAGAATATTGACTTTCATGGTGTCACGGCTCTCTGCTTCAACTTCTCGTGGCGATCACTGCGTCGTTGTTGAGGGTAGTTCTGTTCTGTTGTGTTGTGTGCTTTTTTTGTATTCTTCTTTATCCAGTGCATGCAGCAAGGACCGGCTTCAAAACAGAGAAACACCCCGTCGACGACGAAAAAGAAGAAAAAGAAGACAACGGAGCATTCCACACTTTACGACTGGATTCTCATCGACGTCAGAGACCCACAAGGGCGTGGATTCTAATTCCAGAGAAACCTTGACGACGTCGCATAGAAATCATGGAAACACCCACAAAAACGTCGAAACTATCTTCCTCTCCAATGAAAGCAAAATAGTGTGGTGGGTGAATCTCACATGATTGTTTGATAAGTAGATGGGTAGATTTGTATGCGTAGAGAAAGAAAAGTTGGGATTTCAGAGAAAGTTGTTAAATTTGGGAACATTAAGATTCAATTTCTAGCATTAAAAAAACTGAAAAAGCTTTTTTTCATTAAACTTGTGAAATTATGTCTACCTAACAAGGATATTTAATTAATTCATGATATATATATATATATATATATATATATATGTGTGTGTTGTAACATATTAATACATCATAGTATCTTACCAAAAACTTGAATCGTTTATGGTTATTTAAGAAAAACAAGATTTATTTCATAGGATTTATTTGCTTGCGAGTTTATTTCATTTTGCAGTTATTTTATTCTTATAAATGACATATTACAAAAAATAAGGTGAGGTGACAATCTCCCATTTAAGAAGAAATATGGAAGAAGAAGGTGAGGTGCAAGGAGGAAAAAAAGAGTTAATGTTCCATAAGAAGTTGGTTGACATCATATTTGAATAGTCTTCAACTTGAAGAATAGGATATAAAGTGTTGTTAAAGTGAAATATTAATATTCTTTGATACATTTGTTTTAAAATAATTTTAATATTTAAGCATATTTATATGCAGATCTTTAATACTTATTAAAATAACTTCAAGAAAAAAATAAAAACAAAAATAAAAATAACCTAGATTTGTGTGATTATAAAGTTGATAAAGCATCAACAATTTTGTGAACAATTGTACTATGAACCTAACAAGTTCATAATATGATAGGTATTATGGAAAAAAAAAAAAAAAAAAAAAAAAAAAAAAAAAAACTTTCAAAATATGATAGGAATTATTTTACAGTTATCAGACCATTTGATATTGACCATGAATACAAAAAAAAGCTTGAGTTTGAGAAAAAGAAATTTATTCTTATGCAATCTACTTGCTTGAAAGAACATTTCTACAACAAACTTCATCATAAGATTTGTAATAAATATTCTATTAAAACTTCTTTTTATGAAACTAATTTATAATATTATTCAACTAAAGTAGTTTCAAACTCTATCAGATATTCAAATTTAAAACTATTGAGTAGAATTTTATTAAATTTATTATAGATAAAACATGTTATTTAATTTATGAAATACAAATATCTTCTAAAAAAGATAATTTTATTATTTTTAAAATTTAAGTATATCATAAATTTCTAAAAGTCTCAATCTTTATAAATTGAGTAAATTCAAATAATTCAAATAACTCTTCAAATTCGAAATTTTAATTTCTTTATTCTAATCCTTATTCCTTGCATATTTATTTTTTAAATAAAATAGTTCCTAAAAATATAAAAGTCATATATATATATATATATATATACATATATATTTAAAATAATAGAAAAAAATATAATAGATAATTAGCATAGGAATTAATATGTAATTTCAAACCAAACCACAAAGATACATGTATATATATGTCAAAGACATGAATTGGAAGAAAATGTATAAACTTGGAAAATTTGTGATAAAAAGAAAGTAAAAAAATAGCAATATAATAGTATGTATATTAAAAGAAAACTAGAATGGCTATTGCCAAATGACAAGGAAATTAGAGACTTTTAAATCTAGACTGGAAGCAAGAAAGGAGTTGACAAGAGTGAAGAGGGCTTCATTCTTGCCTCTATATATATTATCTAACTAGGACCCTATGTGGCAATGTTCTATAAGACCTTTAATATGTATTAACTTTGAAGACATATGTCTTGGCTTACAAGGCAAGTTTTCTATGTGTGTGCCATATAGTTAGCTTGTTCTTCAAGCTATCAACATGTGTAACACATGGCTAACTTATTGACCATGTTTCTATCCTAAAAAGTCAATTAAAGATACCTATAAAGTCAAAGCAACATCTATGAAGCTTTTAGGAAGCTTCTAGAGAAGATATTATGGAATTAACCTACTTTTATTTACTTTTAATTAAATCATATAAATAATTATTCATTAACATATCTATGTCCATAGCATTATCCCTCCTTCTAAGGACAATGTCATATTATAAATGCTTACAGTATGTAAAAATTAGTTAAAATATATTATATAAAGATAAATCTAGATGTGTGTTAGAGTGGCTAGTAGATTAAATTCAAAGGAGTTGGTATAAGAAACTTTACTTTGTTTCTTTACTTCTTTTGATTTTGACATTAAAATATATACATATATATATAGGACCTAAATGTTTAGTATGAAGCCTTGGGAGAAGGTGGAAACCTAAGGATGAAAATCTAAACTAGTAGGAGGCTAATTGAGAGGGATGAAAGCAAGGCATGGTCGGATGAAGGCAAGGAATAGGAAACTTCATCCCTATTGGTCGAATACCATGCCCAATGGGCTTTAAGAGGCTGCCCTCGACCTTAAGAAGGGTTTCGACAACTTCAAAGACGGCATTTAGAGATTAAAAGCTAAGGTTGTAAAGTTTAAGGTTTGGGGTACAATTTGTGTACAAAAATTAGAGGATTTGGAATTAGGGTGAAGAAGTTATAGCCATTTGAAGTTAAGGTGTTTATTTAAGACATATGGTTATTCTTTTGAGAGTACGAGGAGTTTTACAATAGCTCTTGAAGATCGGAAGATGCGACTGGAACGGCGATTTCAAGGCCTACATCTTATACATAAGAATTATTTCTTTTGGAGTTTATATGAAGAAATTGTGAGGAGTTGAAGGCGGCGCTTCCAAATCAAAAGCAATAAGTAAGCGGGTTTGTTTGTAGTAATGGTTGGAGACATAACTTGAGTTTTCGGACGAATTTTTGGCTCAAACTTTTTGGAGAATGTAAAATTTTGTATTAAAAAGCTCTACATACAAATTTCAAGACATTTGAGCTTATATTTTGTGAGATATGAATAAAATTGCACGCAGATGTATAAAGACAAGGGTTTGAAGTGACTGATAGAGTTTTCAAGATATCTCAAGATCTTCAATGAATTTGAGGTTGAAAATTGTTGTAAAAGTTAATAAGAATACATCAGTATCTCATGTAAAATTTGAGTTTTTTTGCATGGCCAGATTAAGAGATATGAGGTGTTGAAGTTCGGAAAAATCTCCACATAAGAATAAACAAGGTTTTAGAAGATTTTTATCATATTTTGGAAGTTATGGATTACTTGAGGATTGTGTATTTGGTGTAATTACTCAAAAAGGGAAAAATAATATATAAACTTAGGGCTTTTCTTATTTTCAAGCTTGATTGAGTAATAAGTGACAGCCAGAAGCTCAACGTTTTCTTGACGCAAACTCTCTCTACCCCAACAATGAGTTCTATGAGGAGCATTCTTCATTTGTTGAAGAAATCCAAAATGCGGCAAATCGTATTTGCCACATATTCCAATCTTAGTTTTCTTCAAAGATAGTTCATAGGCCCTCTCAATCATCGACAATGTCTCATACCAAGGCAAGAAAACCACCCTGTTCTTTGCTCGTTGTTGAGGCCTTCTTAACTTCTTTCAAATAAAATATTTCAAACAACATTAAGTATAGTTCCAACCTCTAATAAAATCAGCAAACATCGAGAATCTCTTCTAAGGTTATGATATCAAACACATTGTATCTAGCCATCTATTTGAGAAAAGATATGTTATTCTTGAAGATCATCATCTCAATTTTATCATCTTAAAGGTTGTAACAATTACAATGTCTCATCTAGTAAGTCTGCAAATCAAAACTCTTGCATTGAATCTGGTGGTTCTTAGTTCTCTATTTCTTTAGTATCACAAATATAAAAAGGCTACAAAAAAAAAAAAAAAAAAAAAAAAAAAATCTTCTTTAGACCTTATTTTTTTTATATCAAAGACTTATTATTCTTCATCTTAATTTAAATGGATGTTGTCAATGAAAAGCATCTACCACCTTTGTTGTATTTATAAGATTATTTATTGGCTCCCATGTGCATTAACTAATATCATATTTGTGCCAATAGACAAGATATTCTAATTTATTTTGGTGTTGCCTTGAGTCTAAAACTTCTTCTACTTCAAATTCTTCATTATTGTCCATTTCTGTACGAGGAGATAAAGCTTGTCTTCTTCTTGCTATGTTCATAGTCTTGTATGATTCGAGAAGAGACATATGGAAGACATGATGGATCTTCATTGCCTCTTGTAGATGTAATCAATAAGCAATTGGATTGATTTGTCCACAAATAAGAAAAGGTCCAAGCCTACGGTAGTCCAACTTATCACAAAGACAAGTAGTCTTCATATTACAAAGAAGCAACCATACCTTATCACCTACATTGAAATATGGTTGTTCCTTTTAATAGGCATCCACATTGATCTTTTGTCATTCTTGAGCTTCCTTTAATTGCACCTTCATTATTACATATAGCTCTAACAAATGATTTGCTAAACATTCTACTATAACATTACCAACTTTTGAAAAGTCAAAAGTATTAAATCATAGATGATAACCATAATTGGCAAAAAAAGGTTTTTATTGCATAGAAGAATGCATCGTATTATTATAAGAAAACTCTACTAATGGCAAGAGGGTTCTTCAATCATCTTGTTGATAATTAATAGTACACCTTAAGTATTGCTCCAAAACTTGATTTTCTTGCTCTATTTATCCATCAATTTCAAGATGAAAGGCCAAGGAAAGCTTTAAGTCTACCTTTAACATCTTAAAAAAAATTCTCCAAAATCTTGATACAAATTGAGTTGTCTTATCCAATATAATATCTTTTGACAATCTATGATATCAGTAGATATTGTCAAAGAAAAGCTTGAAAGTTTCATCACTTGTGATAGATTTTGTGCATGGTAAAAAATATGCCATTTTCATAAAATGATCCACTATCAAAAATATAAAATCACACGATCGTAAGATTGAAAGATTTATAAAAAATCCATAGAAATAGAAGACCATGGTTGTTTTGGAGTAGATAATGGTTGAAGAAGTCCATAAGGTCAATGCCGAGGAGTTT